ACTGGCTGGCCCCGCCCACCCCTCCCCTCCCCTCCCAGGAGTATCCATGCAGCCCGTTTTGGATGCCAGGTAAGTACAGGGCCCGCACGGAGGCTTTGGAAGGGTGAAAAATGGACCTCCAGAAACAGGCCTGTTTCTGGCCTCTGGAGGTCCTCCGGAGCCTGGGGAGGCTGTTTTTGCCCTTCTGGAGGCTCAAAGAAAGCCTCCTGAGCCCAAACCCACCCCCCCACCATGGTTCAGGTGCCAAGTAGGCCATGGCCACGCCCACCCAGCAACCAGGCAGAGAACCGGTTGCTGAAATTTTTGAATCCCACCCCTGTTTTGATTGTAAACAGTCCAGCAATATATTTGCAGAAGGCAGTAAGCATCCCAGAAGGCATCTTAAATAAGACTCACATAAGCAAATGCTAGAATTCCCCTTGCATTTTTAGTGAAATTTGGGGAAATAAATTACAGGTAGTCCTCAACTTAGGACCACAATTCAGTTGCTAAGTGAAAATTTGTTAAGTGAATTTTGCCCCATTTTACAACCTTTCTTGCCACAGTTGCTAAGTTGTTAATTTAGTAACACACTTGTTAAGTGAATCTAGTTTCCCCATTGACTTTGCTTGTAAGAAGGTTGCCAAAGGCAATTGTATGACTTTGGAACATGGCAACCGTCATAAATATGAACCAGTTGCCAAGTGGCTGAATTTTGATCATGTTACCATGGGGATGCTGCTACAATGGTCATAAGTGTGAAAAAGGGTCATAAGTCCCTTTTTCAGCACTGTTGTAACTTCAAACAGTCACTAAACGAAATGTGGTAAGTCAAGGACTATCTGTATAGGAATTGGGAGGCTGGTAATCGACACCTGCAGGGGTGGTGTTTGGCATGACATCATTGGGTGGGCGGAGCCTAAAGCCTTGGAACTTTTTTTTCGGAGTTTAAGAGGCAAAACTACCTTAAATCTTTGTCTTAAGGATTGCAAAGATAATGCAACCTCCCCATCCATTGGGGAGATTTGGAATTCTTGGAGGAAAGAGTAAGCCCCTCAGTGAATAGACAATCCCTAAATGTTTGCCTCATGTTGGTCATCCTCATTCTGGTTATAATTGAGGCTGGGTTTTTTTTCCTTCCCTCATTTCGGGTATGAGAAATTTGATTGGAAAAGGGAAATTACCCATATCTACAAAGAGTATTTAAGTGGCTCAAGAAGAGTATCAAGAATATTTTCTGCCTTCCCTGTTCATGCATACATAACCCAGTTTCAGCTCAAACATGACTCAATTCTCCAGAGCTTTTGCAACCAAATCTAAATAGAACTTAGAAATAGCACTTATATACTGCTAAGAAGTGCTTTTATATGACACTCTGAGTGGTTTACAGAGTGAGCATCTTTCCCCCAACAAACTCATTTTACTAACCTCAGAAGGATGGAAGGCTTGAGCCAGTCAGGATCAAACTCTGGCAGTCGGCAGAATTAGCTTGTAATACTGCATTCTAACCACTGCGCCACCACAGCTCTCATCGATTTTTGACTGCAAAAGTTTTATGAATGGAGTTTTCTTTAATCCTTTTGCTTGCAAGAAGATTATGGCTGAAGCGTTTAGAAGATTTTGAAATCTATTCATTAACATCTCTCTAAATCTGATAAGAAAACCTTTCTTTTTGGTGTCTGCTTAGATGAATGTTTCTACCAGCCATAGCAGAAACATTTGAGCTGGCATGAAACACACTGAACTTATTTCAAGACTCATCAAAAGTCCTAACAAGAGATAGCAAGCGACAGCCTTGTGGTTTTCCCATTCCTGGTCCAGCCTCTTTTTTGCTACACCACTTGGAATCTTGACCTGAGAAGGAAAGACTGTCCCAAAGTCCCCCAAGAAGTTTCTGTGACTGAGAAGGGGTTAAATCCTGGGCCCAACAGTTGTTTCCTATTGCTGATCCAGAAGCTTCCTCATTACACCACCCTGGCTCTTGAACTGAAAGAGAAGGTGTCCCTAAGTCCCCCATAAGTCTCTCTGGCTATGAAAGAATGAGAAGGTAGGCCATCTTAAGCCATCATCTTCCCCACTACACCTCACAAGTTCATCTACTCTCCCCGTGCTGGCTGCGGAATTCTGGGAATTGAAGTCCATGCACCTTAAAGTTGCTGAGCTTGAGAAACCGGGTTTATAAAGTCAATGGAGTAAAGTGATGGATGGTGGCTGTTACTTCTTTTTCACAATCTCTTTTTGTCCTTGTGTGGAATCGGTGCCCAAACAAGCAAGAAAGGAGAAGTGACAATAGATTGGAGTTACAATGAGCCCTTCAGAGTTGCAAGGGTTTGGGAAATGTCTGTGGAGATTCTCTGTCATCCAGGTCATAGTTGTCCCAGAGGTGCTTTTCCAAAAGGCAATGGACTTTCTTGGTTTTTTTATTTGAAAGTGTTTCGCTTCTCATCCAAGAAGCTTCTTCAGTTCTAATTGAAGAAGCAAGCTTCTTGGATGAGAAGTGAATGGGAAGTCTTCGCTCAAGGACAGACTTCAAAGCCTGGAGCTTTTCCCATTATGCCCTCCTGGCTTTGCTGTTCTCTCTAGTCCTTTCAATCCCATTTTTAAAGCAGATGCATAGCCTGGATTTTAGCAGATCTCAAAGGAAAGATAATATAAATTTTAAAAAGCAAAATAGTTACAACAGACCCTGAAATGAAAAAAATATGTTTCCCTAGCAAGGGCATGTTGCCTATTAAAAATTAATTATGGCTCTTTATTGAAAAATTGAAACTTCAAATTAAAAAAGAAACCAATGGGTCATGTGCAGTCCCAGCTGTGTGTCCTAGAAATGTGGGTTCTCACAACATTTTTGACCTCAAGCTACCCTTTCTTTTGAGCCATTGGAATGAAATGATGCCTCTGATATTCCAAAACAAAGCAGATGCTGCTGCATTGCTCTTTAAAAATAGATTTGCTCAAATAATTAGCTTTCAACTTGCTTTCCTATGGCTGTATTTAGACCATCTTTCTTTAAACTGGTAATACTTGGGTAGAGGCTGAGGTTCAACATAAACAAGGAAGGCTCTTCCGTTCAGCTTAGATATATTTATTTGACTTTTAATTTAAATTTCTGCCTTTGAAATTACAATGAAATTCCAATTGTTTAGATTTGGAGTGAGATTATCCACCAACAAAGCCATAATAGAATTTATTTAGTTTTATTTAATGCTTTGAATAAACCCAACCAGTGCAATTTTACACTAGGAATTATATCTTGCAGGATGTCTGAATCTAACAAATATGGGGTATTTTTAATGGCTACTCTGAATATTCAAACCGAAGAGAGGACTCAAACCAGCCATGTTTGAACAAAGGTTTATTGAACAACCAACAGTTTTCCAGAAGATACAAGTAGTTATGGATTTTCTGTGAAATTCCTAGTTGTTTTAGATCTCCTGTTTTTACTCTCCTTTTAAAAAATACAGTTTTGTGGCTCAGGTGAGGTACACACTACCCAGTATTCCTCCCAAAACCACATCTCTGTGTTTGCACATTGTTTTAGGCCACCCTCTGGAGTTAACCCAGTCAACTGAGCCTCTCTCCTAAATTGTGATTAATTGCCTTTATTCTCCAAACAAAATAAAAAAGAACTTCTTATAGCCAAGGATATCTGTATGAAATTTTGGGAGTTGAAGTCCACAAATCTTAAAGTTGCCAAATTTGAAATACACTGAGCTGGCAGATGCTTAGGTAGATCCATAGAGACTATCTGACCATCCCTGCTCTCCATGGGTCCAGTTGAAGTTGCTGGTCAAATTACTAAAGTTGAATTAAGATTCAGCCACCAGTCTACCCAGTTGGTTGGGTACAAGAAATTGGGAATACTGTCTTGTTCCTTGATTCAGTAAGCCACATAGTTATAAAAAGAAATGCATAATTTCCAGAATAGTATACTGCCAAACCAGATTATTATTTGGGTGGAAACCTGACAGATCTGGTACTGTAGCCAACAAATACCTCAGCTTCATTTTCTTTTCTTTTATAAAAAGAACATCTTCTTTTCTTCAAGAAAGAGTGTAGAGAAGAGCAACAAAGATGATTAGGAGGCTGGGGGCTAAAACATATGAAGAACTGTTACAAGAATTGGACATGTCTAGCCTAGTGAAAAGGACTAGAGGTGACATGATAGCACTATTCCAATATTTGAGGGGCTGCCACAAAGAAAAAGAGGATCAATCTATTCTCCAAAGCACCAGAAAGCAAGACAAGAACAAATGGGTGGAAATTAATCAAGGAGATCAGCGACCTGGAACTAAGGAGAAACTTCCTAATAGTGACAACCATCAAACAGTCTTGTCTTCAGAAGTTGTGGATACTCCATCACTGGAAGCTTTCAAGAAGAGACTGGACAACCATTTGTCTGAAATGGTATAGCGTTTCCTGCCTGAGCAGGGGGTTGGATTAGGAGACCTCCAAAAACTCTGTTTTTCTATGTTCTGGTGATGCAGATTTCTCCAGGCAGGAATATTGTGGTTTCATGGTCCATATACCCAGTTTTCAAACAATTTTGTTCATCATTTCTCCAAATACTTCCTTTTTTCTACAGATTTCTTTTCCTTTTAATAAATTGTTATTTCCAACTACATTACAAATATTGTAGAGAGAATTGGAGATTTCCAGCGCTTGTTGCATACCCATTGGAGTTCTGCCTCAAAAGTAAAATTAGATAAACCTCCCATTCAAACACCAATTAAATTAATTTCTCCCCAATGTCCCTGGGGGGGCAACATTAAGTGCAAGTGTGCTCATAATGTATTCCAAAACACACTGCAGCATATAAAAATGCTCAAGGCAGACATATCAAACTGGCAAAATGCCTCTTTTAGAACTTTGCACCAGAACAAAGACCAGTTCTGGTCTCGTTTGCCTGGTTGATTTCTCTTGCAAGAATTCACTGTGAAGAGCAGGGTCCATTCTAAATAAGCCTATATTTCTTCCCCTAGAACCGCACCGCTTATTTACATCACAGATCTTCTCTTTCTCTTACCTCGATGGTTGGCATGAAGAAAATGTGGAATCTGGAACACATCCGCTTGATTTGTGCCTGTTTGCTTTGCCTCATTTTCACAGAGGAAAGTAAAACAGAATCAGGAAAATGTAAGTATGCTTTTGGCAGTATGTCGGAAGCTGTAATTAACGCTTGGCTGTGGGAAAGCATCCAGAATAAGCTTTGGAGCCCACATGCATGCATGTGATTTGTGAGCTAATTGGAGAGTGGTGATAATCCACAGGAGCGGGTCTTCTGATGATCATTAATTAAATGAATTTTAATCAAGCTACATGGCTCATGATTGTGGAAGGGCTGCTTCCTTCAAGCTAACATTAAAGGATTATTTGCATGTTTTGCATACTTTACCCCTCCCCGCCCCAAAGCCTAACAAAGAATAATGGTAGCAGATTTGGTTCTGCTCCCAACCCAGAAGTAGCTGTGACTGTTGTCACCACCAGCATGTTTGGTCTCCATCCAGCCACAGCAATGCGAGATGGAATATTGTCTCCAAACAAATGTTCTCAAATGAAATGGAAAAATGTTCTAAATTTCATTTTTTGCCCTGTTGCAAAATATTCCACTGTTAGATCTTTTTTTTTTCCATGGAAAAATTTTCTCCTTTGCAAAAAAATTCCCTGTATTAATTAAAATAATTAATAACATAACAAATGGAGATCTTTTGGGTCAAAGTGAAGTGCTGGAATTGGTCTTATTTACAATCTGACAAGATGATTTTTAAATGATTGCTTTCCAAATGTTAACTCAAGTTGGGTTCACTCAATAGGCTTAAATCAATTACAAACCAGGGCTTGGCATTCAGATAATATAGTTAAATTTTGGTTTACTGTAGTATAAATCTAGGTGATTTCATTAGCTAATATTTTAATGATGGTTGAATTTTAAGTTCCAAATTAAGGGCATTATGTGAAGTACAGTTAGTCCTCGACCTACAGCAGTTCATTTATTGACCATTTGAAGTTACAACGGCACTGAAAAAGGACTTATGACCATGTAGCATCCCCATGGTCACATGATTTACATTCGGATGCTTGACAACTGACTCATATTTATGACGGTTGTGGTGTTCCAGGGTCATGTGATCCCTTTTATGACCTTCTGACAAGCAAAGTCCATGGGGAAACCAGATTCACTTAACCATGCTACTAATTTAACAACTGCAGTGATTCACTTAACAAACATGGTGAGACAAGTTGTAAAATGGGACAAAACTCACTTAACAAATTTAACAACATAAATTTTGGGCTCAATTGTGAGCCACAAGTACTGAAAAGACTGCCACGCTTGAAAGATTTTCCAGACATACCATGCAATCCTACAATAGGAAGGGCAATTTAATATCTTGCAGAGATTTTGGAGTCTACTCCCACATGGATCCAGGCAATAGAGATCCAGATTTTCTTTCTATTTTTATTTCACATCCATAGTTCTCTCTCTTTTGATTGGTATGTTTAAAAAGCATTCATGTTGAACCCAGAGAAAAAATGACATGGACAAGAACAAAGTTGAATTAAAAGATGGAATAAGGACACCATCGGGCAAGGAATAATATTAAAAGAGGATATGGCTGAAGGATCTTACCTCCCTTATACTACCTGGAGGACCCTGAATAGGTTGAGTGTAAAACCAAAATGCTCAAGTGGAGGCTTTTAGTGGATAAGATCACACTGAATGTGGAGAGACACAGAGCCCAGCACATCTGCTGATATGTCAGCTATTACCAGAAACATGTACTGATGGTGACTTATGTTTGGCCAATGACAAAGCCAAGAAGGTGGCTTCATTCTGGCAGTTTAAAACTTGATCTAGATGGGGGAAGAGGAGGAAGAGGAGGCAGGAGTGGGGGGGGGGAGGAAAGAAGAAAGAAGAAGAATATGGACTGCTCTCCATAGTCAATTAAGATCTACATGCTTCCAGGTTTCATTCCATATTTAAAATCCTTGGCAAAGCATCAGATTGTCTGCTTTGGTTAGTTCTGTGACCACTAAACTAAGGCTGGCTGAATTAAAGAGTAAATATAAAATGAAAAGTTTAGAGTTGAGTGAGTTATAACATCATCGAAGACAGAAATGCAGAGAAAGTAGTTTGCAAATCTATTACTGTAGTTCTTGAAAGACAATTTTCGTAAGTGGAATAAGAACTGGGAGACCAAAAAATGCAGGGAGATTTTCAGCAGGGCAGCAATATTTATCCTGGGAGTAGCTTTCACTTGCCATTTTTCACACATCCTATGTTTCACCCTATGCTTTGTAACCAAATTCAGTAACAGAATTAGAATAATTTTCTATCTGTATCCCAACAACTCTAACAAGCCAAAGGGAAAAAGATGGACCTGACCCAAATAAGTTTATTTATTCAGCTGAGGTGTGCAGATAGCTGTGCTGCAAGCAGGGCCACTGCCAATGGACTCTGAGTGGCATTTCCAGTTCATTGCTTTGCTGGTATGAACATTTTGTTCAGTCTGTACTTTTTTTTATATGAGCCACCAAAACTTCCCTTGGATCTTTCTTTCTTCTCGAAGCAGGACGGAAAGTTGGTTGAGGTGAGCAGATTTGAAGGACAGATCTCCTCGGTTGAGAAAGTCCTTGATGAGTGCGCAGGTTGACTGTCAAGTGTTTAAATTGCAATGATTCTTCTAGTGTTATATAAACTCCCATTTACTCATCATAAAACCAGCTTGTTCCAGGAAGCAAGTTCCAGGACAAACAAAGGGTTGCATTCATAAAATCTACTTAACCAGGTCAGTTAAAGGCCTAATGTCTGCTTCAGCATAACATGTGAATTAGGCTAATATTAACACTGGTTACGTTTTTTAAAAACTTAGAACTCAACTTCTTGGTTATTTTACCAGTCCATTTATTGTGCAAACCCAAAAAAGGAGTTAAATCTAGTTTGAATGAGTTGAATGCTTTCAAACAGCCTGAAAAATGGAAGTTTGTTTTGGAAACTGAAAGCTGGTTTAAGAATCATCCAGAGGACCCATCAGATTCAGAAAGCTGGTCACTTTCAGAATATTACGCCAAAGAGATTAAATCTCTCAGATTAAATCTCTGAGAGCAAGCCAAGATGCGAAGCAAAGAGCTATGTTTCCAACCATCTTGAGTGACCTTAATACCAGCAGGATTTAGGGACATTTGGCTTAACACTTGTCAAAAGAGGATTAACTTTATAAAATTCAGTGAATCGGGATTCACTAAATTTTTAACATACATGTTGCTAGAAGAGGTGCTTATGGTGAGCAGGATTTTGCAAATCTCATAATCAAGCTAACAAGTCAATCAGTGGTGCCCATTTGGAGAAATCTGGTAAGGAGATAGAGTTGAATGTCTCATGAAGTAGTCAAACATGCATCCCACCCTCATTAAGCGTAAAATTGTAACAGTCCCATCTCTGTTGACTACAATGATGATCTACATCTTTTTACAGAAATTAAATACAGATAGTCCTCAACTTATGACCACAATTGAGTCCAAACTATCTGTTCCTAAATGAGATAGCTGTTAAGTGAGTTTTGCCCCATTTTATGATTTATTGCCACAGTTGTTAAGTGAATCACTGCAGTTAAATTAGTAACACATTTGTTAAGTGAATCTGGATTCCCCATTGACTTTGCTTGTCTGAAGGTCACAAATGATGAGCGTATGACCTTGGGACAGCAGTGGTCATAAATATGAACCAGTTGCCAAATGATTGAATTTTGATCATGTTCACGTGACCATGGGGATGCTGCAACAGTTTCAACTATGAAAAACATTCATAAGTCACTTTCTTCAGTGCCATTGTAACTTTGAACAGTCACTAAATGAACTGTTGTAAGTTGAGGACTACCTGTACTCTCACTGCTCTTGTTGGTCACCAGTTCACAATTTCTCTCTCTTCCTCCCCTTCCCCTCTCTCTTTTCTTTTTTTCAGATTCAGAAACCTACTGCATGTTTCAAGATAAGAAGTATCAAGTAGAAGAAAAATGGAATCCTAACCTTGAACCTTATGGAATTTTTCACTGTCTTGAGTGTCGTTGCACAGAGGTAATGTGATTGGATATAGTGAAGATGTGGATTTCCAGGAGGGAGGGGTTGTCCATTCCAGAAAAGTAAAAGGCAACTCAACCCAGAGATCATGTTTGTGTGAGAGAGGATGAAGACAGCCCCTCCCTATTAGTTCCCAGAGCATATTGAAGAGGCAGCAAGTAGAATCCTCAATCTAGGAAAAGTTGACTTATAGGTGTGAAACAGTAAAGATCTCAGTTTGGAAGGATGGTTCCTGCTTTTGTACCTGACACAGGCTGACTGTGGAATTCCAGGAACTACTGTCCACATATGTTGTCTGAGGGTTTCTGGGAGTTGAAGTCCACAAATGTTATGATGGAATGCAGTGAGGAGATGGATTTCCAGGAGGGAGATGGTCCATTCCAGAGGAATAAGGGGCAACTTAGCCCAGAGATCATGTGTGTCAGAAAGAGGATGAAGACCGACCCTCTGCCCAGAATAATGGCAGTAGATTTGGTTCTGGATATCCAAAGCTGCCCCCAGCCCAGAAGTAGCTGTGACTGTTGTCACCATAGTCTTCAGAAGGAGGGGCCACCAACAGAAAGCTTAGGTGAGCCATTTTGGCACTGGAGGTACAATTCTCTGAAGCCCTGTCCAAGTGTACGTAAATAACCACTTTGCATGCTAAATGTATTTATGGAAGGTCTGTTTCTCTACTTCAGAAGGGGAACGTGCTGTGTATGAAAGTCAAGTGTGCAACCCTGCGGTGTTCCAACCCTATACACAATTCATCAAAATGCTGTCCAAGTTGTCCAGGTAATCTGCGTCTCTAGTGCAACAAAGCAGTCTAGATAGAATATTTGCTGTAAACATGCCAGAAGGGAACCAACTGATGGTTGCCCTGTCCAAAAATAACAAAGGGATGCTGTCATGCAGCAAAACTCTATTATTACACAGTCCATTTGTGATGAGCATTTTCTTCATCCCAGAGCATTAAGTGGATGATGTCCCCTTCGTGTAAGACAAATCATTTTTGCCCTCTTTTCCTTGTTGGGATGTGATACTCCTTTTTTCTGTGCTTCTTAATATCTGGCTGGCTGTTGCAATACAGATAGTCCTCGACTTACAACCAGCATTGAGGCCAAAATTTCTATTACTAAGCAAGACAGTTGTTAAATGAGTTTTGTCCCACTTTAGGACTTTTCTTGCCATTGTTGTTAGTTAATCATTGTGGTTGTTAAATTAATAACATGGTTGTTAAGTGAATCTGGCTTCTCCATTGACTTCACTCATATGAAGGTGGCAAAAGGGGATCATGTGACCCCAGGAGACTGCAACCATCGTAAATATGAGTCAGTTGCCAAGCGCCTGAATTTTGATCACATGAGCACATGGATGCTGCAATGGTTGCATGTGTGAAAAACAGTCATGTCACTTTTTCAAATGCTATTATAACTTTGAATGGTCACTAAATGAATTGTTGTAAGTCAAGAACTACCTGTATACTGAAATCTCTTCTTCTCCCCAGATAAACAAACAATGGTTGTTTCTCTGCAAGTGGTAGCCAACAGCATTGTCAACCATATTTGTTGCAACCCAACATTGCTTTGTAACAAGGCAAGGTCAGCCAGAAAAATAAGAGAGCCAGTAGGCATTTATGATTGTATAAATGGGCGTGTACAGTATTTCAAGAGATCATGTTATAACAGAGATTAAGCATGATATTTTGGAAGGGCTGAGAAAAATCATCCTCCATGCTTAACATCCAGTGGCTTGAAGCTCTTGCTACCTTTTCATCATCTTGCTTATTCCCATTTATGAAAGAATCACAGTTGTGCAACATTACAGTGGAATAATTGTATCAACATTGCCCAGAGAGCAGCTGTTATGTAATGCAACAGAACAGCAGGCAAGGAAGATTTGGCAGAGGCAGTTGAGTGTGGCTTTGGAAATTAGCAGTGCATAGTCTAGATGTGAAGAGGATTCATAATTCATTGATGTAAAAAGGTTGTCTGAAGGTTGAATCATTGCAACTGGACTAATCAACCAATTGAATTATCAGTTAATATTTATCCGTTATCAGTCAAGCAGTGGGACAGCTTGCCTTCAGAAGTTGTAGACTGGAGAACTATTTGTCTGAAATGGTATAGGATCTCCTGCTTGAGCAGGGGGTTGGACTAGAAAACCTGCAACTCTGTTCTTTTATTCTGTGTTCTATTTATTCTGATGTTATTGTTAGTTTGAGAGACTCACTGCCCACCCAGGCACCTTAATCCAGTTGCAATCATCTAACCTTCAGATAACTTGAGACAACCTTCAGACTATCTGGATGATTGAAAATCTTCACTGACATTTTGCAATGCATTTGGGGGAGCTAACTCTGAGGTTACTGTGGCAGAAGTTGGTACGTTCCAGTGGCTTTGCCTAACTGCCTTGCTCTGACTGCTGAAGTTGCCTCTGACTGCTGAAGATGGGCAGTGAAACGTCTCTCAAACTAACAACAAAAATTAGTCTAGTTGCAATGTTTCAACCTTCAGACAACCATACCTGGCTGATTGAGTCTCTTCATTGACACACTGATGAAGAATTTAGCCTTTGACATGGGGTTTCAGAGGTTGTGGAGATGTCATGGTTGACTTGAGCATTTGTATCTGTTATGGCACCCATTTTTTCTCTTTACACCCCAAGTTAAAGTGTTTATCCTTAAACCACAATTAATATATGTAGTGTTTTCCTCTCTCTCTCCCCTGTCCCACTTTCTGAAAATAGTCTGTTGTTAAAACACTCTAAGGATATTTCAATATCAAATTGTGCTTTTCTGCCTTTAGGGAATTACACATGTATATAAGGGTCTAATATATTGGATTTAATGCATGTTGCACAGTACAGAGGTCCTAATAGTTCCTTTCCCCCACATACTGTACATCAAAAGCTATTCAAAGCCTTGAGATACCAGCATGTGAACATAAATGATTTGCAAAGGTCTTGAATCATGGCCATTGAATTCATTTGCCCATTATTTGATACCTCGTGCTGCTTGGGTTGGGTGCCAAGCTTCACAAATGAAAAGAGAAACGAGGAAGAATATCAGCCTGAATTCTTCAGTAGTAAAATAATTTTAAAGTGTCTCTTTTTTTATGCTGTGTAATAATGCAAGCATAAAAAGGCTTCAGCTACCCATCAATCTGGTAGGAAGACAAAATGGGACTGTCTTCTCACAAAGACTCAACTAAGTCTCCGCATATTCAATTAATTTGGGTGGTAGTAAGCAAACCATTGAGATTACTATACACACAAAGATAATTGGTTGTTTTTTGCTAAAAATGGAAAAAATAAAGTGGTGAATATGTAAAGAAGAGAACAAGGTGGTCATTTTAACGAGGGACAAATGACGATAAAATTGTAACTAAAGATCAGAAGTTGTTTCTTTATTTTTTTTATTTGTATCTCATTCTACAAGCTATTTGTTTCATATTTTTCTTTTTCTTTATTTTTACTTAATATATTCCATGTTGACTGCTATGAAAAATGTTCAATAAAAATTAAATATTAAAAAAAATATTGGGGGTGGGGGGAAGAACAGCACAGGAACAAGGAAAAGAAATATTGGAAGAAGCTAAGGGAGAAATGCCCCTAAGACATTTAAATCATAGTCTAAAAATGGGGTATCCAACCTTCGCAACTTTGAGACGTGGACTTCAGCTCCCAGAATTGAGATGCTGACTGGGGAATTCTGGGAGTTGAGGTCCACAAGTCTTAAAGTTGCCAAGGTTGGACACCGAAATGACCTAGCAAAACCACTAGCAAAACCATCTGTCATGAAGTTTTATCTGCAGGATCCAAACTGGGTCAGTCACCGGGACCAGAGGTTTAGTCTTCTGAGCTTTCATGCTGAAGCCAATTCTCAGGGAATGTCTCTCTACAAAAATGTGTGCTTTGAGCTATTCCAGCTTATCAGGTACTTAGAAGCCGAGGACTTGGCAGCCCTAGGAAACAACAGCAAAATGGCTTAATAGCCCACCACAACACCCCAATCAACAAATAAAAAGCCACACACAACCAGGCACCACATAAATACTATGCATAGAATAGCCCAAATCACATTCTGTAGAGACAAGTTTCCTGAGGATGGGCTGCAGTATGAGTCCAAAAGTTCAGAATACTAAACAACTCATCTCAGTAACCGAACAGACTGGATCCTGCAACATTATCCTGGGACACATATATTCACTCTTGTTATCTGTCCTGTTTGAGCCTCTTGGTTGAGTTTGGTTGTTAATGCTTTTTTCCCATTGCCTGTTCTCTTTTCCAGATCAACCCGTTGTTTCAGACATCAGAATTGCTGGCAAGGCCTGCAACTACAGTGGGACCATTTACCAGCATGGGGAGATGTTTAGCATAGAAGGAATCTTCAAAAACAAACAACCCAATCAATGTGCGCAGTGCAGTTGTTCTGTAAGTGAAACCCTGGCTTCTGCCAGGCACAATTGGCTTTGATGGCAGAGAATATTTGTAGTTCAGGGTTGAACTGTAGGCTCCTTGGTGTTCTCTGAACTTGGTTATTATTTTGTGATAAATACTATTGATTTCAGCGCTCCTTGGTACATTCTGAGCTTGCTTGTTTACTTAAAGAGGTCTCATTACCATAACTAGGTAATATCATCAGTGCTACTGATAATAAGGAGTGCTATTTGCTTGCAGTTTATATCTGTTGCCTGTCTGTGGGGGTGGGGGCAGTCTTAGATATTCTTTGATTGGGCTGTTTACTGATGGCTCTTTGACAGTTCCTTGATTGGGGTATTACCTATCTGGGTGCTGATTACTGGTGGAGAGGTATTGGAGTCTTTTGGTTCCTTTTTGGGCTGGTTAATTTTCTCTTTTGCATAGTCTATAGATGTTTTCAATGTCTATGGGTGTGTTGATGGCTGATTTGTCAGAGAGCCAGGATTCTAGAATTCCCTGGCATTTTTAGACGTGGCCTTGTCTAGGATTGCCACGTTTTCCAAATTGAAACTATGGTTAAATCTGTCTATATCTTGTGAAATGAAAGAATTCTCAGCAATATCCATGTGTGATGGAATGTAGTCTGGATTCCCAGGAGGGAGGAGGTCCATTTCAGAGGAGTTAGAGGCAGCTCAGACCAGAAATTATGTATGAGAGAAAGAAGGTAAAGGCAGCCCCTCCCTCACAGCTTCCAGTAAATATGGTTGATAGCCTAGTGGTGATAGTGGTAGTTTACTCCAGACTAGAAAGGTTCTGTCTATGGATGTGGATGTCTGTGTGGCAACTGAGGAACAGAAAAATGGCTGCTGCCAGGTTTGGTTTAAAGTTGACAGTGGAACAATAAAGAAATCTACTTAAAAGAATCCCATAGGTGCTTTTTCAAGAGGCAAGTGGACTTTCTTGTTTTTCTTTGAAGACGTTTCACTTCTCATTCAAGAAGTTTATTTAGTTCTGACTGAATAGTGGGGAATGAAAGCATTTATATCCCTTGCAGTCATCTGGTTGTTAGCTCTCTGAAGGCCCATCGTTAGGTCTTTGAGAGACCTTGGGCTACCTGGGGGTTAATCTGTACCATTAGGGTCACCTGAATCAGACTGCAAATGGGTGCAGAACCTTCAGTCAGAACTGGAAAAGCTTCTTGGATGAGAAGCAAAATGTTTTCAAGAAACAGTCCAGTTGCCTTTGAAAAGTGCCTTTGGGACATATATGATCTGGATGACTTAGAATCGTCACAGGCATATAGACAGTCCTTGATTTATGACCATAACTGAGCCCAAAATTTCTGTTGTAAAATGAGACAGTTATTGAGTTTTGCCCCATTTTACAACCTTTCTTGCCACAGTTCCTAAGTGAATCACTGCAGTTGTGAAGCTAGTAACCCGGTTGTTAAGTGAATCTGGCTTCCCCATTGACTTTGCTTGTCAGAAGGTTGCCAAAGGGCATCACGTGACCCCTGGACACTGCAACCATCATAAATACGAATCAGTTGCCAAGTGTCTGAATGTTGACTATGTGACCATGGAGATGCTGCAAAGGTTGCAACTGTGAAAAATGGTCATAAGTCAATTTATTCAGTGCTGTTGTAACTCTAAATGGTCACTAAATGAACTGTTGTAAGTTGAGGACTACTTGTCTTTGACAGAAAAGCATACTTATAGCTCAGGGTTGAACTGTGAGGACTTTGGTGTTCTCTGAGTTTGGTGGTTTTCTTGCAGATGTTTCGTGACCCAACCAGGTATCATAATCAGTGCTTAGATGATGTTGGTGGCACTTTGATGATAATCTTCAGACATGAAGATGTTACTTAATCAGGTAATCTGTGCAAGAACACCAAGCTCAGAGAGCACCAAAGACCCCACAGATGGCGTATTCTCACAAAACTTTACCACAGGCAAAAGCCTAGGTATCTAAAATTTGGTTGATTCAGTTCAACCATTTGCAGATTCAACTCCAACACATGAATCAATTGAATTGCCATCAATAAAGTTCACGCAACAAAGTCAACAAACAACTCACACTTTGGCCATCAAGACATTAGAGAAGAATAAGTATCTATGCATATTTCTAGCTCTGATTTTGGAACAAGGTACCTTCTCTTGTGTCGTTCTAGAAGAGAATGCCCCTCCAACCCACCCTGGAATTCAAAGAAGCCATTCTGCCATCCTGGAGCCTTGGATTGACTTCCAAGGAGCTTCAAACTTCCCCCAATATAGTTTGAAAGCTATATGAATGGATCACTTGAGTACCTTCACTTTGCTGTTTTTTGCCCTGCGGCTCGAGAGATTTTAAAGGATTCATTTTTGCTCATTTCTGCTGATGAAGAAGTCAAGCAGATTCTCTTCTGGGGAATTCAGATCTTTTGCTGAGGTTGTTCATCCTGTTAACCTTCACTGCAGTTTAAAACACTTCCCAAAAAAGAAAGAAGGAATGGACTTTGGATTGCTTTATTGCAAGCATTGGTAACCCTGTATCTGCCAAGTATCACAACACTGTTTGTTTTCTGTTTGGTTCTTAACTGCAGGAAGGAAAGATATATTGTGCCTTGAAGACCTGTCCTGATTTAACTTGCACTTCTCCAGTGTCCGTGTCTGACTCTTGCTGTCAAATTTGCAAAGGTAGTAGTATCATCACCAGCACCAACTTCATTATCACATTATCATTATTACGAGGCCTGGGGGCACAGTGGTTAGAGTGCAGTATTGCGGGCTGACTCTGCCCACAGCCGAAGTTTGATCCTGACTAGCTCAAGGTTAACTCAGTCTTCCTTCCTTCTGCGGTCGATAAAATGAGGACCCAGATTGTTAGGGGCAATATGTTTTCACTGTCAGAAATTTTCTGACAGTGAGAACAATCCACCAATGGAACAGAAGTTGCCTTCAGAAGTTGTGGGAGCTTTATCACTTGAGACTTTCAAGAAGAGATTGGACTGCCATTTGTCAGAAATGGTGTAGGTCTCCTGCTTGGGCAGGTGGTTGGACTAGATGACCTACAAGGTCCCTTCCAACACTGTTAATCTGTTAATCTGCTTGTAAACCTGCTATAAAGTGCTATAGGGTGGTATATAAGTCTAAATGCTATTGCTATCACCAGGATTGAGAAGGGCTCCCCTGCGTCTTGTGCCTTATATTTTGGATTCAGATTCAGAGACAGAACATAGTAGTAAAACTCTTGAAGGTTTAACCAAAAGGTTACATACTCGGAGGGCAAATTGTTATGAATTGGTAGGAATTTTCCTGGTGAGCAACTTACTTACACTTTCCAATTTGTTGACAGGTCAGAGACACTCTTGAACTGTCTTTCATGTGCAAAAAGCATCTGAGAATGAATTTAAATATAACTGTTTCATTTTAATTAATAAAATATAATATGGATGTATTAATCAATATATTGATATTAATAAATATTAATTAAGGAAGAGTAATATATATTTAATGCCTTTGGGTCAGTTTTCACTGTTGGTACCTTCCTGGACAAGTCCCTGCATTTTTCTTGGCAATATTTTTCAGAAGAGGTTTGCCATTGTCTTCTTCCTAGGGCTGGCCCAAGATCACTGACATGGCTTCATGCCCACAGCAGGACTAGAACTCTTGCTTTCCTGCTTCCTTTAACCACAACATCAAAGTAGTTCTCAGGGAAGATTAATCTGGAGTATTTTTCCTATGAACACTAATACAGAGAAAGAGTAGCTAGGGAGACAACCAGTCAATGAATGGACACTATATAAATCTGGAACCACAACTGCATTTCCCAATAAAATGGGGCTATGAAAGGCAGCTTGAGTTCCTGGTCAAAGCCAAAATAAATTACTTCTCCATCCTCTGTGATGGAAAAATAACAGCAACGTAATCCTTGTATCACCCATTTGAGAATTTTGAGAGATAAATTTGCATTTTGTAAATGAGAAGTTTGTTGAACTTTCAATGTGATTGAAAGGCAAATTTGATTGTACTTCTTAAATTCCATCAGAATGGTATGGACATTTTGGGTGAACCCATAGCAAAATGGTTTCTGGGAATAAACAGATTTACTTCTTACCAGATAGATTTCATTGGGCTAGCCAGCCGTGCTTTTACTCCTCCCCATCCCTCCTTTGGCAAGTGCTCCACCATAAATGGCTCCCAGGATTTTTTGACACAGTTGTCTCTTGTGCAGATGAAGAATCACTGAGGGACCTGGATGGAGAACTCATTCGTCAGCCAGCTATCCGTGAAGCTGTAAGTCAACTTGTCTCAACCCCATCTCCAATGAAAGGAAGACCCATCCCAGGCAAAATTATTATAATTGAGATATGGCTGTATTTCTTTCAACATGAGAACCTAGCAGGATTCTGTTGCAGATTTTTTTTATCTTTAGCAACTGAGTGATCAAGATGATGAATTAAATATTATTTTTGCATGTTTCATACTTCACTAGAATTACTCCCACTACTCTTCATTCTATTTTGCAAATTTAGTGTCTTTCTTCATTCCACTAACCCATTTAGCACTTAGCTTCTCCTAACAAAGCCTATGAGTAACTATACTGCAAACAAGCTAGAATGTAATCCAAGAATCGTTTTTCAGAAAAATCTGTTTTTGCCTTGTTTCTGATGTCTGTGTTAGGAAAGTGAGCTGTTGGGTTTTCAGTCCAGCATAACTGATTGTTATGAATTTTGGTTTAATGCAAATAACTAAATGTAAATCTTTTAATTGCATTTAATAAGTAACAATTACTAATAATTAATAAGTAACTAATAATTATTAAGGCTTGGTGATATCAGCCTTTTAATAGTGTTCCACAGTAATGTCACTTCAGGTTGTAAGACAGGATTTTTCCCAGTTATAAACTTTATTTCTAAATGCTGCAACACTGCCAGGTTTTAAGAACATATTGGACAACAATTTGTCTGGTATAGGGTTTCCTTCCTGAGCAGGGTGTTGGACTAGAACAGGGGTCTCCAACCTTGGCAACTTTAAGACTTGTGGACTTCAACTCCCAGAATTCCTCAAAACTGGCTGAGGAATTCTGGGAGTTGAAGTCCACAAGTCTTAAAGTTGCCAAGATTGGAGACCCCTGGACTAGAAGACCTACAAAGTCCCTTCCAACTCTCTTTTTCTGCCTTGTTTTCACAAATTATCTCTCTTTTCTCTTTTCTCCAGAGACATTCTCCTCCCTCCCAGCCCGAGTCCTCAACCAGCAGTCCTAGACTAGCCGCTATCATCCTGCAGCCCCCTGAGGGAAAAGCTAGATTCAAATCTATGCCAAATACATCACAAAGATCTGGTACCTTTGTACGGATCGTCCTTAACAACCGACAGAAAGTTGGAGAAGGTACGGAGATGTCCTTTTCAACAATATTCTTCTGATTGCTTGGCAGTCTGCCAAAAGGTCCTCAAAGGCCATAGGATTGAAGAAGTCTGGCCAGGCCAGACTTTTGACCCTCCAGATATTTGGATGACAATCCATCGAGGCCTTGAGCAAGGACCATGCTGCAGAGGCTGATAGAATGCCAAAAGTTATATATTAAATTCAGAGTTTCAGAAATAAAGTACTATAAGGACTTTAAAGTTTATGAACGTAACAAGTGTCTGCAACTCTTTAAAAACAAAGGTGATTCATAGAGTTCCAGAAGATGGTACATTTACACTCCTGTGCATTCCCAGGGCCCGACCCAAAATGCTTTTTCAAGAGGCAACTGGACTTTATTCAGTCAGAACTGAAGAAGCTTCTTGGATGAGAATCTAAATGTCTTCAAGGAAAAACAAAGTCCAATTGCCTTTTGAAAAAGCTTCTTTGGGACAACCATGATGTGGATGACTGAGAATCCCCAGACTCTCCCAGGGCCTTTTCTGACATTGCATCTGGGTGATAAAAATTATGCTAAGGTCTCTCCAGGATTCCTGCCCTTTTTAAGAGAGAGAATATAATATTATTGCATCTCTACAGTGGCTTGTCTACTAAGTTAGGATTGACCAGCCCTCAAATGACATTTTTACAACTTTTGGGGAGAGTCTGCTGCTAATTCTTTAACATCACTGACATACCCAGTTAATAATAAGAGGACTCAGTGCTTTTTGTATTTGGGCTTACTTTTACATACTTCACTTTAGAGAGGAAGGTTACATTTGAAATAATTATCTTAATTATCTTGGGTTGCTAGAGAAGATTGAAAGGAACAATTTCTCTATTGGTCAGTGAAAAAATAGCCATGCCTTGCTATAAATAGCCTTGGTCCTCATTTTGTGAACATGCTTGTGTGATATGTCTATGGAGATTCTCAATCATCCAGGTCATGGTTACCCCAAAGGTGCTTTTTCAAGAGACAACTAGACTTTCATGTTTTTCTTTGAAGATGTTTCACTTCTCATCCAAAGAGTTTCTTCAGCTCTGACTGGATGGTGGAAAATGGAAGGATTTATAGTCCTTGCAGACAGCTGGTCATTTGCATCCTTTTAGAGCAGGGATCTCAAACTCGCGGCCCGCGGGACAATTGTCGCCCGCAGGACGATATCCTGTGGCCCCCACCGTGATATGAAAGTATAATATTAGTGCGGCCCGCAGGGGGAATGGACCTCTGAAGGAAGTCCCACCCGCCATTCCTCGTCGTGGCTTCTTCTCCACCCTGAACAAGTCCAAGTACAGGTCCAGACTTACTGATGATCATCTTCAAGCCATACTGAGGGTCTCAAGTGCCTCCTCTCTCAAGCCAAATGTGGCTCAGATATGTGAGAGGAAGCGTTGTCAAGTCTCTGGCAACAAGGAGTAAGCTGGAGAAGCCATGTTCTGAGGAACTGTTCATGATCTTCATTCAATGTTCCATTCATGTGTTCAGGACAGTTCATGTATTGGAGAAATCATTAACTGTTGATGACATTTGAGGATATTTTTTTAACAACGTTTTTTGTGGAATCCCTTATGCGGCCCAGCCTCACCCAGACTCTGCCTCCAGTGGCCCCCAGATAAATTGAGTTTGAGACCCCTGTTTTAGAGGGTAGTTGAGGCCACTTGGAGGTTTATCTGTGTCCTCAGGATCACCTGAGTAATGCAAATGGGTGTGGAGTTTCTTGGAATTGCTGAAAAGACTGTGTTGTAGACTGGAGGTAGATAATGGCGTATCCCTCCCCCTCTGTTGGGAGAGGGCTGTTTAATTTTGACATAAATGGCCTCTTTAACCACTCTTTCAAATTAGCGGTCCTTTCTGTCCAAAATGTGGGCTTTTGAAGACAGCAAGAGTCCAGTTGCCTCTTGGAAAAGCACCTTTGGGATGCCTGTGATATCTTCTCAACACCCCAAATATCTCTTTGTTCAGCTTCCATAGAAAAAGCAGAATAAAATAGAAGCATAATTATATGTGCTGTATTGGTTCTCCAGCCAACATTGTCTTTTGCAAACTAACATGCATATGGGTAGAAAAGTATGTATGGTGTGTATGTATGTGTATAACAATGTCTGTGTCACTTGGGAGAAGGTCCCTTCAGGTTCATTAGATTCATCAACATATGTTATGAAGCCCAGTCCTAAGCACATCAGTGAATACCTAAAGAGAAGGTCCCTATAAGCCCATGTCCCAATATCCAGATCTGATGGTTCCATAAACTTCATCTAGACCAAGGGTGTCAAACACAAGGCCTGCAAACTGGATGCAGCCCACAGGGTGCTTAGATCTGGCCTGCGGGTTGCACTGGGAACAGCAAAGGACCAGCCTGCAGTGCCTCTGCCAGCAAAAATGGAGGTTGGTGGGGTGCGTGTGGCCCTCCAGGGCTCCATTTTTGGCCGTGATGGCCTACCGCAGCCCTCTCTGCCAGCGAAAATGGAGCTCATTTTCACTGACAGGGGGCTGCAGGAAGCTGTCTGGGCTAAAAACACAGCCCGGGGATGCACCCTGACCCTAACCCTCTGTTCTTGCTGGCAGAGGGCTGCAGGAGCTGTCCCGGCCAAAAATGGGGCTCGAGTGAGCTGCACATGGTCTTCCGACCTTTGTTTTCACTGACAGAAAGTTAGCAAAACAACCTAAAAACAAAACAAAAGGAGAAATGTTTCCCCTTTTGCATTTGAGCATGCAAGAAGGGATAGGAAAGGAGAAAGGGAAAGAGGAAAGACAAAGAAAAAGAAGGGAAGATGGGAAGAGAACAAGGAAGGAAAAATAAGGAAAGAGGGGAAGGAAGAAGAAAGGAGAAGGAAGAGGAAAGGAAAAAGAGAAGGAAGGAAGGAACAAAGGAAGGGAAGAAAGGAAGAGGGAAGGAAGGTACAAAGGAAAGGAAGGAAGGAAGGAAGGAACAAAGGAAGGAAGGAAGGAAGGAAGGAAGGAAGGAAGGAACAAAGGAACAAAGGAAGGGAAGGAAGTTTATAATGAGAATGAGGGAGGGTCTGAAGAAAGTCCTGCCTTAGCACTTGGCCACTACAGGTGGCCCCGACATGAGTGATGTTGAGCTGGCCACGCCCACCCTGGGCCTCCGAGGTAAAACACAGATCTGAGGCAGCCTTCAAAGAAATCAACTTTGACACCCCTGATCTAGACAGCTGAAATCGAGGGAAAAGCCTGGGAGAATCTGAAGTTATAAAAGCCACTTGGCCCAAAGTCAACAATCCACAGACCTTCCAAATGGCCATCAAAATCTTTAAAACCTTTGATTCAGAGCCAACTAATCTACAAGGTTTTGATTAACTAAAGAAATGTTGGTGATAGAGACTCAAATATCTACCTGAACAATCATGAGATGATGTTTGTCTCAAGTTGAATGCTTCATGTCTCAGAGCAAAAAATCTTCATCCACTGCAAACTCTTCTCAGTTCACACACAAAGACAGCAACAAAGCAGTTTCTAATTGATTTGTTTTGGTACAGAAAAAAAATACCCTGCAAATGAATAGCACATTTTTCATATGTGCTATCCAGCTGCAGTTTTCAGGGGCTAAGGTGATTTTTTTTCTCCCCCCCCGCCCCCCCAGGAGAATATTTGTATCTCAGGGTTGAAATGAGGTGTGAGCTTGGTTGTTTCCTTGTGGATGTTTCATTACCCAACTAGATAACAACATCAGTGCTAAACCTCCACTCCCTTCTAGCACTGATGATGTTACCTAGTTGGGTAATGAGATGTCTACAAGAAAACAACCATGATCAGAGAGCACCAAGGAACCCTCATTTTTCTCCCCCTTTCCCAAATGGGAACAAAATTATTGTGACACTTTTCTTTAATTATCTGATCTCTTTGAGTTTTCCCATTGGATATTCTTTGTACCAGTGAACAACCAACCTCTAAATTTTGACACCATTTTTCCCAGATTCAAAATTATTCTGGATTCAGCTGTAACAGTGTTTAGATTTCTTCCCATACAACAGAACCCCAAATTATTCTGAATTTAGGCTTGTTCCATGATACGTGATACGTCACGAATTGAGGAAATAGTTCTTAATAGTGAGAACAGTTAACCAGTGGAACAGCATGCCTCCAGAAATTGTGGGTGCTCCATCACGGGAAGCTTTTAGGAAGAGACTGGACAGCCATTTCTCTGGAATGGTATAGGGTCTCCTGCTGGAGCAGGGAGTTGGACTAGAAGACCTCTGAGGTCCCTTCAAACTCTGTTGTTCTGTTACTAGTGAGAGAAATGGTCATAGAGGGAAAAATTGTGGCCACTAAATCTCTATTTCTGATATCTAAGATTTGCATCCATTCTATATTCTAGTGTGCATTTCAAATGGAAAAACCTACTCACAGGGAGAAACCTGGCATCCATTTCTCCGAAACTATGGTACCGTAGAATGTGTCTTATGTACTTGCAATGGCACTAAGCCAGAATGTAAAGCAATCCAGTGTCCTTATCAGTATCCCTGTGAACAACCAAAGAAAATTGAAGGGAAATGCTGCAAAGTTTGTCCAGGTAGGTTGATGATGTTGCATTGGATTATGGAGGGTACATGGTGGCTAGGACAGAAACAATTTTGGGATGTAAGCAAATAACTGGAGATACCCCTACACAAGACTTTCTCTCTCTTGCTGAGACTTTCTTCTCTCTCTGCTCCCAAGTAGCAGTCTGTAGGAGTCAGCTCTTATTAGAGGTCTAAAGCAGCGATGTCCAATCTTGGCCACTTTAAGACCTGTGAACTTCAACTCCCAGAATTCCCCAGCCAGCCCTGAAGTCCACAGATCTTAAAGTTGCCAGGGTTGGATGCTCCTGGTTTATAGTGATTTCTTGCAAAAAGGCATTGAAATTAGGCCAACATGCTATACACTTTTTTGAAAGCTGATTCTCAAAAAAATAATATATGCATGTTTCTAACTATTATTCAAGTTTGCAAATTAAGACAAGAAAACGAACATAAAATATGACAAGGATCAACAAAAGCAAATCCGCTGGAGCTTACTCAATATTTGTAAGGCTAAGGCAGTAAAAAACCTTCTGCCCTCCACATTAAGAAGCTAGAAAGATTGGGAAGTGACTGCATTTTCAGTATTTATGGAACAGCTGACGGTGTTTTTGTTCTCCAAGCCAGGAAAATGGGCTCAGATACAGTAGAGGGCTGGTGGACCATCATGTTGTGCTTCCTCCAAGAGTATAGATTCCATTTTAAAGATAATTTTGGTACATTGTTCTTAATGGAATCACAATCTGAAAAAATGCAGGAAAATTATGATGACTTGTAACTGTCAGCCTTCCAAGATAAACCTAACTTGGAAACAAAGACATGCAAGCTAATACTACTTTTATTACAAGTAAGATAATCTTGCAAGAAATTTCCTAACAGTGACAACAATTAACCTGTGGAACATCTGCCTTTAAAAGCTGTGGTGCTACATCACAGGAGGCTTTTAAGAAGAGTCTGGACAGCCACTGGAATGGTATAGGGTTTTCTGCTTGAGCAGGGTTGGACTAGAAGACCTCCAAGGTCCCTTCCAACTCTGTTATTCTGTTAAATCTGATTGCACTTCATTCATCTTATTTTGATGAGAGTTGGGAATGTTCATGTCTGAGATGCTTTCTCAAATTACATTTCTGTCCATTCAGATTTCTTTTATCTGTCAGAGCCATGGTGGCACAGTGGTTAGAATGCAGTACTGCAGGCTACTTCTGCTGATTGCAATTTGGCAGTTCGAATCTCACCAGGCTCAAGGTTAACTCAGCTTTCCATCCTTCCAAGATTAGTAAAATGGGGATCCAGATTGTTGGGGGCAACAGGCTGAATCTGTAAACCACTTAGAGAGGGCTGTAAAGCACTGTGAAGCGGTATATAGGTCTAAGTGCTATTGCTATTGTTTTGATTGTGCCTCTTTCTCCTGTTCCTCAAGATTATTCCTTCTGCCTGTTATAGTAATTCCGATAATAAAGGAACTGTAAACTGGTATAAGGTCCCTGAGAATACATCCAATGGGATTTCCTCTGGAATAAAATGCAACAACAAAGGTGAAATAAACTAGATCCCTAAAATATAAACTATTATTTGTTTTTCTTACAGAAGAAATTGAAAGTCAACTCCCTGACGATCAAGACTATTTCTGCAGTGATGAGACATTTCCAGTTTACGAAGCCATTCGCAACATTTCCAATGGAACCCTCCGACAAATAGCCTTGGAAAAAAATGAAACTTCAGAAGTGGAAATCTACACATGGACTATTAAGAGAGGTGTTGAATTCTTTCTTTTTCCAAGATCACCCCCATAAGGAAGAGAGGAAATCAAGTTTTGGGGGATCACTGAGGCAGATCACCCATGGTATGTCTTCAGGGTTGTAAAAGTGCTCCCGATACAGAAAGTTTTGGGAGCTGTCTCAAGTGATTATATTATGAAAAAAAAAAATTTTTTAAGAGTTTTCCACTAAAAAAAAGCACTCTCCAAAATGAATTGAGTTCAATTTTTGCACTCAAGTCAGAAGCATCCAGGCACTTCCAAGTTGAAAGGATTAGCCGGTGACATCACCATTGCCCTGGGGACACCCAATTGGGGGGCTCCTTTCATATCCCTGGCAAGAGCTGGAGTGAAGGATGAGAGCTCAACCCCGCACTATGGCATAAACCAGGTCTCAAACGTGGGCTTGCTAACCTCCTGCCCAGCGTCCAATCAATCGAGCCCCCATGCTTCTATTCTGTAGAGTTGAAAGCAGTTCCTAACTACTTGTGTTCTTCTAATGGCTTTGCAATAGATATCCTGAGCCCCATTAATACCGACACCATATCCAAGGAGGAATTCAGAGAACTCTCATATTTCCTGCAGATCACAAGGACAACTCTGAGTAAGTAAAAGCTTGCTTCAACATCTCTCGGGTCAAAATCAAACTTTTTACACACATCTGAAGAAGCTGTTCATACACTCACCACTTAGCCCTATCAAATCCAGTACCTGTCAATAGTGGTGTTCCCCAAGGCAGTGTTCTAGGACCAACTCTCTTCATAATCTACATAAACGACCTTTGTGATCATATCAAGAGCAATTGCGTTCTCTTCCCTGATGATGTAAAGCTGTTCAATACCACAGACAATACTACTACCCTACAAAAAGACCTAGACTATGTATCTGAATGGTCTAACATATGGCAACTTCAAATCTCAACAAATAAATGCTCTGTCTTACATATTGGTAAAAAAAATCAGAAAATAAAATACAAGCTGAATAGTCAAGATCTTGTTGATGACCCAAGCTCTGTAAAGGACCTGGGAATACTCACCTCTAATGATCTAAGTGCTAGAGCCCACTGCAACTACATAGCCAAAAAGGCATTAAGAGTTGTTAACCTAATCCTACGTTGCTTTTTCTCTGGTAATATCTCACTACTAACCAGAGCATACAAAACATTTGCTAGACCAATACTCGAATACAGTTCATCAGTCTGGAATCCTTATTACGTATGTGATATTAGCACAATTGAGAAAGTCCAGAAGTATTTCACAAGAAGAGTTCTCCACTCTTCTACTCGTTGTAGAATACCTTATGCCACCAGACTCGAAATTCTAAAACTAGAAAACCTTGAATTACGCCGTCTTCGGTCCGACTTAAGCATGGTATATAAAATCATACATTGCAATGTCCTACCTGTCAATGAATACTTCAGCTTTAACCATAACAACACAAGAGCACACAACAGATACAAACTCAAAGTAAACCGCACCAAACTTGATTGCAGGAAATACGACTTCAGCAATAGAGTGGTCAATGTCTGGAATACTCTACCCGACTCTGTAGTCTCTTCCCCAAACCCCAAAAACTTTAACCTTAGACTGTCTACTATTGACCTCACCCCTTTCCTAAGAGGTCTGTAGGGGGCGTGCATAAGCGCACCAACGTGCCTACCGTCCCTGTCCTATTGTTTCTCTTATTCTTTTATTTTTCTTATATGTACCCATTTCATATATTCACAACTATGTATACACTTGTACTTATTATCTTGTAAACAATTGACAAATCAAATAAATAAAAAATAAATAAATAGTTGTGTCAGATAAACTAATCTATGCTGTTAAACCGTATGTCAAACTTGGTTATCTTACTGTGGCGAGGCCTTTTGGGAATTAGGGTTATGTAAACAGACCCCCATTGTGTCAATTTAGGGTTCAGTTGATTGTGCAAATTCAGGAAATGGTTGAATTCTGGTCAAACATGCTGCATGGATAAAGTCAAAGGGTGGAATCACCCATTAAATAAAGGCACAGCTTTTTTATCATGTTTTACAAAATAAGTCACAGTGGATAAACAGATAATAATTCACATGGAAAACCAATCACTTAGTATAAACTGTATACAAAGTCCTAGAGTCATACACCACTTGATCTAACCTTTCTTCTGTCAAAATTAATCAGAGTAGAGCTGGAAGGGACCTTGGAGGTCTTCTAGTCCAATTCCTTGCTCAAGTAGGAGACCCTATACTATTTCAGACAAATGACTGTCCAGTCATTTCTTAAAAACCTCCAGTAATGAAGCACCCACAACTTCTGATGGCAAGTTGTTTCTCTGGTTAACTGTCCTCACTGTTAGGAAGTTTCTCCTTAATTGCAGATTGCTTCTCTCCTTGATTAGTTTCTATCCATTGTTTCTTGTCCTTCCCTCTGGTACTTTGGAATATAAGTTGACCCCCTCCTCTTTGTGGCAACCTCTCAAATACTGCTATCATGTTCCCCCAGTCCTTCTTTTCTCTAGACCTGCCATACCCAATTCCTGCAACCATTATGTCTCCAGGCCTTTAATCATCTTAGTGCTCTTCTCTGAACTTTTTCCAAAGTCTCAACTTCTTTTTTGTAGTGTGATGACCAAAACTGGATGCAATATTCTAGGTGTGGCCTTACTAAGACTTTATAAAGTGGTACTTCACATGATTTTTATTCTATGCCTCTGTTTATACAACCAAGGATTGTATTAGTTTTTTTGGCTGCTGCTGCACACTGCTATCTCATATTTAAGGGACCTTGTTGATCATGTAGTCCAAACCCCTCGCCCAAATAGACCCTACACCATTTTTGACAGATGGCAATCCAATCTCTTCTTGAAAGCTTCCAGTGATGAAGCTCCCACGACTTCTGAAGGCAAGTTGGGTTGATTGCTCTCAGTGTCAGAAAATTTCTCCTTATTTCCAGGTTGAATCTCTCCTGGATCAGTTTCCATCCATTATTCCTTGTATGGACTTCAGGAGCTTTGGAAAATAGCTTGACCCCCTCCTCTCTGTGGCAGCCCCTCAAATATTGGAGCACTGCTACCATGTCTCCCCTGGTCCTTCTCTTCACTAGACTAGCCAGGCCCAGTTCCTGCAACCGTTCTTCGTTCTTCCTATGTTTTAGTCTCCAGTCCCCTAATCATCCTGGTTGCTCTTCTCTGCACTCTTTCTAGAGTCTCAACATCTTTTTTATAGTGGGGTGACCAAAACTGGATGCAGTACTTTTGGTGTGGTCTTACTAAATTGTAGAGACCTTCCTGAGACCCAGCAAAATGCAAATGATGTGATTTATTTGATTTTTAACTGTCCATTCTAGAGGAACCTCATTGTTGGAGGGTCTCAACTTTGGTTTATGGCTTACTGTGTTTTGCAAACTCAGCGACTTTGGGTTTATTCAATTAACTGTAATTCAGCTTGATGCTGGAATGAAACTTTCTTGTCAGATAAATTTATGCAGGACTGCATCCTTAATCTTTTCATCATATTAAATGCACTCTTTTCTCCCAGAGACATTTGGATTTAATAATTGTGGAATGTAACATGGTCAAGAACCGGCAGTTGAAATGAATCAGCTGATCCTTTTGGTTTCAAGTTACCACTTGGCTGTAGCTAGAAAATTCCAGGACTGTAGCTCTGGAAGAAATTCTCCTCCTCGTTTCATTGGTGTGAATCAAGGGGTTGTTTATACAAGCAATTATCCTAGAAAAACAATTGCTTGATTCCTTTTGGCCTCTGATTTGTTCACACGATTGCTGGGGGACTCAGAATCTGAAGTGGACTGAAAGCTAAGTGTTAAAAGGGACTCTTTTTCTGCCTGTTTCTTTTTCATTCTCAGAACTTTTGAGACAAATTTTATTTTGGTCTTTGATCAATAAAAGTTTGGTAAAACAAACAAAATGAACCCCCAACACCAGTGAACTTTGGCCTGTCTGTCTGCTTCCAGGATACTGTAAATTGAGGGTGGGAAAATGGGGTCTAGGACAACCTGCTGTCCTTTAGAAGGAGAGATACTGAAGCTGAAGCTCGAATACTTCAGCCAGCAAATGAGAAGAGAGGACTCCTTGGAAAAGACCCTGATGTTGGGGTAAATGGAAGGCAAAAGAAAAAGGATGGCAGAGGATGAGATGGTTAGATGATATCATTGATGCAATGAACATAAATTTGGGCAGAACCAGGGAGATAGTGGAGGACTGGGGGCCTTTGATGTGCTGTGGTCCAGGGGATCACAAAAGCAGAATAGCAACAGCATTAGAGGAAGTTGAATTAGAGGAAGGATCTGCCATTCTGTTCTCCTTTTTGGCTGCAAGGGGTCAGGAGGACCAGTAAGGATTTCTCCTTACTCAATATTGTTTTTGAATTGAAAAATATTCTTCTATGCCTATAATTCTTCTTTTTGCTGAAGGGGGAGAAATAAGAGCTTATTTTACTTTGGAGATGCCATGATGATGATGGCTAGTACTTCTGTAAATATAGGAGGAATTTAATTAGCTTTGAAAAGAAATACACCAGTATTTGAAAGCTCCGTTTGGCATTGGAGGACCTGGCGTGGGATCTATTCTGTTTGCAGTCACCACTTAAATTTTGCAGTTAACACAACTGATTGCTTCCTATGTGCATGTGAATCTTTATTTAGGTTGGAATTGGGAAATGTTCAGATGCATGACCCAGTACCGGCCAGATGTTTTTGGAATATAAAGCTGGATAGGGAAGGACATGAAAACACGAAACCTCCTCAATTAGTTCAGACCCCCTCAATCTTTCCAATTAGCCTGCACACCGTGCTGTCATTTGCATTGCTGTTTTGGATTACTCATTGCTTTTTTTAAATAAATTTTTTTGCTTGTTTTAGATAAGTGGAAAATATTCAGCGAAGGAGCAGCTCAGATCAACCAAATTTGTGAAAATCGAGACTGCAGGACTGAACTGGAAGAACTGCTGAAGGTTTTGTACCTTGAGAAATCTGAACAGGATGGTTGTTGAGGGAGGTTCTGAAGAAGGAAACTGAGAGAAAAGAGATGGATCCGCAATAGGACTGTGGGTTTGTTTTGTCTGTTTTGATGGTACCCTGGAAAGAAAAAGAAAGAAAGAGAGAGAAGACGAAAGAAGGAAAGTATTCATCTCATGCCCAGCATATCTTGCTGCTCTGTGCATAAACTTGTGCTAGTCCTTTTAATATCTCTACTTCGTAAATGGTGGCTCTTTGTCATTGGAAAAACAGGAAGGAAAGACATAGATTCCTGCAAAGGTCATTGTCTAAAGCCAGGAGTGTGGAGTTGGTGAGCTGAGGGTCTTATTTCATATTTTGAAGAGAAACAAAGGCCTCAGTGGGGAAGGTGCAGATATAAAATGGGTAGAGCCACAGTTGTATGAGACCAAGTTCCTTCCTTTTCCCTACTTTAAAACTACATTAAGCCCCTTACCAGCTGATACCAGAGTTTTTTTCAGAAATAAAATAGCAAGAAATATAAAATTACTAGGACCCTCCCAAGTAGGAGAAAATATCCCCCCCCCCAGAGGTAGGTTTAGCTTTGAGCCACTACATTCTCCACCCATCTTAATTTTTTGGACAACCTGTTGATCAGGAAAAAGCCAAGGATGGAGCTGTAGCAAGGTTGAGTCTTCTCTGCTGAAAGCAAGTCTTGAAATGATGATAATTCAGGGCTTGAACCACCCACTCCAAAACTGGAAAAGAAGATCCTGGAAATGATATTTCACTGCCTCCCCCCCCCCCCCCCGCCACTGTGTGAAACTCTTCTGAGGTGCAATTGCTCAAAGGCGTGATGGGAGTCAAATCCAGGCCATCTTGTTTTCATTTTGAGGCACAAAGCACTCTCACTTCCATTTTCCCATTATTTTTTCCCCATCTTTTTCTTTCCATGAGAAATATCATTCAGGAAGAAGGGCCGGGGAAATGGAACCTTGACACAGTGCCTTGGGATAGATGGCCCAAAGTGTCCTTGGAAAGAACCAAAGAGAACCTGACTTGGATAGTCATGGAATTTCTGAGATGATCTGGGCTGAATCTTTTGGCTTGGATTTGACAGTGGTAGACTAGATACACCGACCTTGGCAGAAGCCTCCAACTCTTTTCTTCAGCTTGAGTTCCAGGACTGAAATGCTGTGAATCCCACAGGAAAACATCACCCCTGAATTCAGGTGGGTGGGTGGGTAGGAAAGATGAAAATTGGGTCTAGAGGGGCTGCTGGTTGCTTATTCTTGATATCAACTATGGTTGGAAGCCCCAGTGGTTCCACACCGCACATCTCACATGAGAGTTAGGCTATGTTCTGTGCCTTAAAGAGAAAGTATCCCATACAGGTAGTCCTTGACTTACAACAGTTCATTTAATGACTATTCAAAGTCACAATAGCACTAAAAAAGTTTTATGACCATTTTTCATACTTACGACCATTGCAGCATCCCCATAGTCAGGTGATCAAAATTCCAACACTTGGCATCTGGCTCATATTTATGACCGTTGCAGTGTCCCCGGGTCACGTGATTTGCTTTTGGGACCTTCTGATGAGCAAAGTCAATGGAGAAGCCGGGTTCATTTAACGGGTTGCTAACTTAACAACTGTGGCAAGAAAGGCCATAAAATGGAGCAAAACTCACTTAATACACTCTCACTTAGCAACAGAACTTTTGGGCTCAATTGTGGACATAAGTCAAGGACTAGCAGTACTCCAAAATGAGGAAGACTTCAGCATAGTTCCTTGTTTTTTAAGGAAGAAGAATGGAGCCCCAGGAGGGCCGAGAGGAAAAAGGGATGTGCAGCCTAGAGGTCACCATGGCTGCCACATCTCCAGGGATCATTTTATCAAATGAGAACTTAAATTTAAAAGTAAAAAAGCACATGCTGCTTGTAGTGGAACAGAACTGCTAAGCAATGCTTTTCAGCTGCGGAGCCTTAAGTTGGGAGCAGCCCATCCTTGTTACGTTCCCACAGCAAAACTGAACCATAGCCTCCAGGCATGGAAAGTATTGTGCGAACACAACCAATCTGGTTAGTTCCAGGCATTGCAGTTGAATTGGCACAACCCCCTTCAAAGCAGAGCTCAAATGGGATGAAGGCCTTGGCGGTTTGGCATATTGTGAGAAATCACCCATTCAGAATCAGAATTTAGCTGGAAGGGACCTTGGAGGTCTTCTAGTCCAGCCCCTTGCTCAAGCCAGGGATCCTATACCATTTCAGACAAGTGGCTGTCCAGTTTCTTCTTAAAAACCTCCAGTGATGAAGCTCCCACAACTTCTGGAGGCAACCTGTTCCATGGGTTCATTTTCCTCTCTGTTAGGAAGTTTCTCCTCAATTCCATGTTGCTTCTCTCCTTGATTGGTTTCCATCCATTGTTTCTTATCCTGCCTTCTGGTGCTTTGGAGAATAGCTTGACCCCCTCCTCCTCTCTGTGGCAGCCCCTCAAATATTGGAAGACTGCTCTCCTGTCTCCCCTGGGCCTTCTCTTCCCTAGACTAGCCAGGCCGAGTTCCTGCAACCATTCATTGTACGTTTTACTCTCCAGTCCCCTAATCATCCTGGTTGCTCTTCTTTGCACTTCCGCCAAAGTCTCAACATCTTTTTTGTAATGTGACCAAAATGGGATGCAGGATTCCAGGTGTGGCCTTACTAAGGCTTTAAAAAAAATCATGTGGTTTTGAGTCTATGCTTCTGTTTATACAACCTAGGATTATATTTGCTTTTTTGGCTATCACAACCTGGTTATCATATTGAGCTGGTTTGGTTTGCTGGTTCAGGCCATATGAAATTGGCAAGGGTGTTTGGTCAGTTTGGGGTTGGAGTTAAATATGTAGTGTGAACTTAGGGGTTTGGGTTGTTTCTCAAGCTCGGCAACTTTAAGTGTGTGGACTTCAACTCCCAGAATTCTCCAGCTAGCAAGCACAGCCATCCTCTTAGAATTTAATGAGCAGGTGGGTCTTGGCAGGTGATGCAGTGTCTCCCTTTTTGAATCGTATCAAAAAGGCACAAGTTGACAGGTGTACAGTACTTTTGTTATATATTTTATTAATTTTCTGGAAGAAACTGTGATGGGATACCTGGGATATAGGCTGTGTATTTATTTGTATAATAAGTTCTCTCTTTTTTTAAGGACAAGGAAAAATCAGTGTAGCATGTTTCTTTAGCATTAACCAAGACGCATCTTAGCGTGGCTGGTTCTCTCTTCCACCCCTTTCACTTTTGTGGAGACACATATTTATAACCATTATTTATATACGTGTTTTATCTCTTTTATAAATTAATAAAATTGAATTGTTCCAAATGGACTTTTTTCTTTCATTTAATAGTGTTTTTTCCTGTGTCCCTTTTCCTTTGTTTAAGAATGGAGGGAAGATCCAGACCTTCTTTGAGGAGGAGCGGGGGAATTATAGGGTTTGCAAACTTTGGGCTGCAATCCTGATAACAAGATGACATCCAACTGAGTTGGGGTTACTCCAGTAAAAATCAAGGTTTAAAGAAAAAGTATTCACAGAGGTTAGCAATAGCAATAGCATTTAGACTTATATACCACTCCACAGAGTGTTTTCCAGCCCTAGCTAAGGAGTTTGCAGATCCAGCCTCTTGCTCCCAACAATCTGGGTCCTCATTTTACCCACCTCAGAAGGATGGAAGGATGAGTCAACCTTGAGCCTGGTGTGATTTGAATTGCCAAATTGCAGGTAGCTGATAGCCAGCAGAAGTGGCCTGCAGTACAGCACTCTAACCACTGTGCCACCAAGGCTCTAACTAGTGATCTAATCCTGATGGCTCATTTCAAGCTACAAGTGTGAGAATTATGTGGTTAGAATGTTCTCTACATTCAGCTAAGCACCTCCAATGCTAGGAAGAGAGGATTAAAACTGTTATCTTCTTCCTAATGGGGTGGCACAGAGGCTCAGAAGTTAAGGCCACCAGCCCAGGTTCGAGACCTAAGCACCATGTGATAGGGTGAGTTCCCATCCTCACCTTTTTCCTTGAGAAATTTCACTTTTCATCCAAGAAGCTTCTTCGGTTACTTTTGGAAGCAAGCAGGAATGTTGGAAATTGCAGGGGAGGAGGGATCTGTGCATCTCTCCCTACAATGCCTTCTGGGTAGAAATTAACCAGGTTTTTTTGGTTCCTCCCTGCAAAATCTACCTGGACACAGGTCTGCTATGAGAGCCAAAATTGCCATCTTTTGAGTCCTTGTCTTGGCTGCTATCAAACTTTGCATAACAGAATAACAGTTCGAAGGGGCCTTGGAGGTCTCCTAGTCCAATTTCCTCCTCGAGCAGGAAGCCCTATACCAGTGATGGCGAACCTTTTTGCTGTGGTGTGCCGAAGGCACGCACGTGTGTGTGCCAGTACCATCAATGTAATGCGCCCCGCCCCTGCACATGCATGCATAACACCCCCGCCCCCTTACCTGCACTGTGCATGCGCAAGCTTCCCAGCTGATTTTCAGCCCATTTGAGACTGTTTTCGCCCTCTCGGAGGCTCGAGGGAAGCCACTGCAGCCTCGGGAGGCCAAAAAATGGGCCTTCCGGAAATACCAGAAGTGCCTGTTTTCAGCCCCCGGAGGCCTCTGGAACCTGGGAGAGGCTGTTTTCACTCTCCCAGAGGCTCAAGGGAAGCACCTGCAGTCTCAGGAGGCCGAAAAACAGGCCTTCCGGAAATATCGGAAGTGATGAAACGGGCACGCTTTTCAGCCTCCAAAGGCTGTAGGGCAAAAATTGCCTCCCCCGGGGTCCAGAGGCCCTTCAGAGGCTGAAAACAGGCTCTTCTGGTATTTCCAGAAGGCCCATTTTTCGGCCTCCCGAGGCTGCAGAGGCTTTCCTTGAGCCTCTGGGAGGCCAAAAATGGCCGGAAATAGGCCGAAAATCAGCTGGGAGGCACACACATGCGTGGTGCAGGTAAGTTTGGCTGGGGCTCGTGTGCCATAAGGTTCGCCATCACAGCCCTATACCATTTCAGACACATGACTGTCCAATCTCTTCTTTAAAAGTCGAATTCATCCAAGTTGGCCAATACAAATCTTTTAACCAGGAGCAGCTCTTTAAATCACTCCCATTTAGGATGTTGTCTAAGAAACATAATGAACTAAGTCAGGGTAATTCATGGTGATTTTCTGGCACTAGCTTGGTCTCTCTGCTCCTTATGAACAAACCTAATTGATCAGGAGTTGTTTATGGTCTCTTGGAGAAGGATTGCTTCATACTGTTCAAGGTAAGTGTAACAAAATGGGGCGACAACTTTTTTTAAGTAGTGGGGGAGACATAGAGGGTATGTAAACAAAGAAGAACCAGAATAGTTCTGCTTGTATAGATCAAATACAAAACAGCAAGAAATAAAGAGCTTTGGGTTCCCCTCTGCTCTCTGTGTTGTTGCACATGTGTGGCAGGGTGGATAGAAAGATAAATAATTCTTTGGATGCGTGGATAATTCGTGGAGAACCCAATTTCATTCCAGAAATATTTATACAGGTAGTCCTAGACTTATGACCATAGTTAGCACCAGAATATCTGTTACTAAGCAAAACATTTGTTAAGTGAGTAATTCATTACTTTATTACCCATTTTGCCATGGTTGTTAAATGAGTCACTGCAGTTAAGTGAATCATGCAGTTGTTAAGCAAATCCAGCTTCTCCCATTGCCTTTGCTTGTCAGAAGCCAGCTGGAAAGGTTGCAAATGGTGATCACTTGACCCTGGGATGTTGCAACTGTTGCAAAATCCATGCCAAGTATAAGA